TCTTAACTAGATAATAGGTAAAAAAAAAGAAGAGAGACCCTAGGGCCAATCCCATCTACTCAATGCCTTACTAGATTGGTGTGAGATGATATCAAGCTGATAACTCGGCCTGTGTGCTCGGCATCGAGGTCGGCCGCCTGATTTGGACCCCGCCCGCATCCCCGCCCCGCCCCGCCCCGACGAGTGAGGGGTCGTGATGTAGTAACCCGATAACCGTCATATGGTCCCCATCTTGCACGAACTGTGATATACAACCTAGCCACTAGGCTCAGACTTGTAAATACAGGCAAGAGTCTTCTCCGCTTTCTTCCTTCCCTCTCCACATCTCCCTTACACCCTGTCATCCTTACCACGCACGCCCCCACCACACTCCTCGCTGCAGCTCTTACTACGGTATTGAACTTTGGGAGCAGCGTAGGGGAACTTGGATAGTATCGGGAATCACGGCTTGCCCGTATGTATTGTGTGAAGTGGCCTGCTCTTGGGCCGTGGTGCTTATGAGTCCTAACTGGGTAAGTTTATCTTTCCCTCAGGGTTTCAAAGCCATAATGCTAACTCCAAACTTAGAAACGGTTAGAACTTGTCGCTCTGGGCTTGAGATGCCTTCCTTTACTTTCCTGAGTTATATAACTTTAATTGGACAGGGGGGTTTCAGCCGGTATCATACTTGACCAACTTTTCGGGCGAGAGGTCACGCACCGTTCTCGATATCATCTACCTCCATCTCGATAGTAGGGGAAGGAAAACAACCGGCTATTATCCCGACCGTCAGTTATCCTGCGTCTCTAGGCTCTTTTCTGCTATCTCCCTCCGGTAGTCTACCCCTACTCGGAACTTCTCGATCACCCTTATTACCACCTACTCCTTCAGCCATAAAAGTATGGTCTCATACCACCACCACACCAGGACAACTGCCACCCCCGGACAGGCTCTAGAGTCTCTCTCTCTCTTTTCAATATATGAAGCACCCCACATCCTCTGCTGCTGCTTTTGTCCTTCCTCTCCCGACTCTACCAACCCCCGAACCACTACCTTCACAGCATTCTTAAAGCAGTATCGTAGCCAGGGAATACCATATCACCCACCTCTACTCTCATAAGAAAGGGCAATGCAATTTTTTTCCTTTGCTGTGTCCTCCGAGTCTCCGTAACTCTAGAGCCTGACTACGTTCTTTTCGTCTGACCTAAGAGATTCTATCTTGCTATCACTAAATACCTCACCCACACCCTCCTCTCTCTCTCTCCTGACGACGCATGTCGGAGCAATCCCTCTTCCAGGATTAATAGCGCTACTATCCCCGTGTGGTGTTCAAAGCAGAGCTCTGCGGAAAGCTACTGTCTTTCAGCATTTGGGGCTTCTCCCCTTCCCGGCACTCCGGAACCCCACGACGAGAGTTACAACTCCTACCAAGGAATTTCTCGAGGGGTCTCCCAGTCGGGGGAAAACAATTACCTTCTACACTGGCAACGTCCAAAGTAGAAGGTAATCGTCTCTAGACCTACCAATGGGTAAAATTAGATACTACAACTGCACCTCCACATCTCCCTACCCTCCATATAGTAATGGGGGAGTTGGTATTGGAGCTCCCACCCCTCCACCACTATCACCAACCCTAGGGACATAGGTGTTGGAGCTCCTCCCCCTTTACCAGCATCACTAATACCCAGCTGCATGGTGTTGGAGCTACCTCCCCTCCACCATCACCAACCCCGAACACATGGGTGTTGGATCTCTTCTTCCACATCCACCATTATTAACACCCAGCTGCATGGGTGTTACACTACTTCTTCTACATCCACCATTACTAACACCCAGCTGTGTGGGTGTTAAAACATCTACTATCATCAATTCAACTATGACCTGTCTACTACAGTTTCAGCTGTTATATATGGTGGTTCATAGACACTTCTCCCTTCTCATTGTAATGAAGGACTGGTATCGGAGCCCCTCCTCCTCCAATACTTCCTAGTTCTTGGAACTTCTCTCCAACTCTTACTCCCAAATTGCCATCACCAACACCCAGCCACATGGGTGTTGGAGCTCCACCTCCTCCCCGCTACCACTGAGGCTCAAACACTGCAGCTTCTATAACCACATGGTGGTTTGCGGACCTTTCTCTCACCATATTATGGTGAGAAAGTTTGTATTGGAGTACCTCCTCCTCCAATACAAACTTTCTTATTAATTTTGAAGAGTTCTTGGGAATTCTCCCCAAACATTTCCCCCCTTTTATCTCATTTACTCTCACTCTCCGGTTACACTCCAGCCGGCGCTAGAGTGCAACCACCCCAATAGCCTATTTTCTCATAGCAACTACAAGTACTTCCCCACAGCTCTTCTTTTTAATCCTCATGTGTTCCTCTACTGACCATTTCGATAGCCTCCAAATCAGGGGGGTACTATTATTTCACCAATCTGTTCTGAAATTTATACCCCTCTCTTACTATAATGTATCTTTCACATAAATACCATCAACACATTTACAGCTCTCGTTGGCTTTGCCGGCACCATCTTCTGTTTGTCGCAAGAAGGTGGTGCCGGCTGCTCGGATGATATGTGATGGGAGGGAGAATTTAGGATAGAGGTTTTGTTGTTGTAGGAGGTTATTTAGCCCACCAGTGTATGGGGGGGGGGTTAGAGGAAGAGGAAGAGGAGGGTGGAACAGACGTACTCGGATTATGATCACAGATCTTGGTCTGAGTATGGTACAGGCACAATGGTATTTGTCAAGGAAAATTATTATCAATAACTCTAATATTTGTACGTTAAATAAGCTACCATCTTCACTCTGAAGATAGATAGATAAAAATTACTACTTCCATGTTTTTTTCTCCCGTCTTATTATTTATCAAGTGGTATGCTTCTCTTTCCCTCAAGCACACTTTACCCCGTCCCATCCCCCCCCCCCCCAAAAAAAAAAAGAGAGAGAGAGAGAGAGAGAAACTGCCCAACCGCTTCATTAATCATGAATCCCCCCCTTGGGGACGATCGCTCATGCATTCATGGATAGATGGTTTCACTCGACATTACCAAACCAACTAATCACCCAACAGTGAACCTCCGCCAAGGACAGCCGGACCTGCAACCCAGATGCCCGCGGGTAGTAAAAGCAGTATCATAACACCTTTCTGTCGGGGACACTTGGCTCTCGATTACACTGCCTCTCAAACAACCTGCTCCCAACCCTCCATGCGCCGCTTACCAAAACCCCCATCAGATCTTACTAGTCCCTTCCCGACGTCGCGTTGGCCGATCGACTACGGCAGTTTTGCCCATTCGTGCGCGGGACACAGGAGGAATCATCCTCGAGAGGAAAATGAATTGTTTTGATAAGCACGGATGGCTAACACGATATCCAACCGCAAAGTATGGTATTCTGCGTGTCCAAGGCGACAAGGCGATCACAGTCGGAACATGGTCACGGGAAGACGAGAAATGGGATGGCTCCGAGCATGATGGAATTCGGGATGGATTACAGATTACATTTGTAAGCTATGACACTATCAAAGAGGGGAATATAGCATGAGTGCGCGCGATGGTATTGTGATCCCGTTCAGCTCATTCCATCCTAGTTTCGAACACCTCCACACATCGCGACCACACAATCAATCACCAGCATCGCACCAAGCTAGGTTTTTAGGCGAGTGATACTTTATGTCACAAAAACCGCCTCTCTCAAACCTTTATCTCTATCATGATATCATACCGCCACATTACTCGACGTCCTTTAAAGTCTCCGGAACGTGAAGTATGTCCGCGGGCCCAATTTTCAACAGTTTCTGCAAAATGAAGCGGTTTCGATCTAGCAATTATACCGTTGGTGAATCGGTTGTTCGTTCCCCATTTCCGGGGACGCTTTGGGGGAGTCAAGCACCAGTTTCCCGCGCTTACGGCGCGAAGAGGGTAACCCTGCCATCATTCGAGGAGGCAGATGGGGCCCGAAAGTTTGCCCCGGAGCAGAAGGCATAGTATGATAGCATTCACAGGTCTAAACTTCGAGATCCCTTACCTAGTTCATCTATTCCGCTTGTTTGCTCGGCTTAGTCCCCGGAATAGATAAAGGACAGAGCTAAAATCACGAAACATCACTCGTGCCGTCCACCCCCCGCTGTCCTGCAGCCTCCCCGACCGTCTCTTGCCATCCGCCCCTACCCCCGAAGGCCCCTGGAGCCCGAGAGCCCCCCGCTTCCCCACCAGCAACAGTCAAAAAGATACGCCGCATCATGCATAGAGCTCGCTGTTGCAGAAGATGGCGCGGAAGATAACTCGAATGTCTAAGTGACTACCGCGCAATTCGGACCGATATTCACAGACCACGATGCCCAGCCGACTACCATTCCTCTACATGCGCAGATGAAGGACAAGGACAAGGCTGGGGTGGGCGATATGAGGGACATTGCGATCGGGTTCCGGGTGGCACGCGCTCGGGATGCGGGTAATTGGGACGGACGATTAGGTATTTGTTGGAGGGGTACAGTAGCGGACGGTGCTTCCCGGACACGTTTAGTCGCTTTGGTATCGTACCGTATAGTAGTGCCGGTGTTAGTCACATCCTGTGATATGATATCACAGTGGGATGTAGCCATGGCGTTGGCTGCAGAATCAATCACAATCGCCCTTTACGAGTGGTGCAGCTTTCATCACTTCTACTGAGCTTGGTTTGGTTCGGTTAACTGCCTCCGGGATGAGAAATGAAAAGGTGGTTCACTGGTGGTGTAATTGGTGGCTTGAAGGGGCTAGATTTTGCGGGAACTGGTGTATGACAACTTAGGCCACGGACACATTGCTCACGTTCCGGGGACTTTCGGAAATATCGAGCACGGCGCAGAACTCCAACATTCCCTCACGTGTCCCAGAGGATAGTATTCGTAAAAGAAAAAATGATATCGTACATGGACACAGATTATTCCGAATTAACCCCAATCTAGCAGTGTTATACTAATAAAACACAGAAGTCTTCACATATACAGTAGCCCAGCATGAGTGAATGGGTAAGGGAATTACTCCTCATCGCTGGATACAATTACCGGTCCTCTCCGCCTAGGTCTTGCTGGCGGGGTGCGGACGTCTGGCATTGTCGGTGGTTTTGCAAAGGGCCGCTCCTCGCCATCACCGTCGTCAGAGCTCTCTTCATCTGCGCTACTCCCATTATCATCGTCACTTCCACTTTCAATAGCCCTCCTCTTTTTTGCCTTAGCCTGCCCACCAGCCACGTTCTTCCTCTTCCTCCCATTCCCCTCGCCCGCGCCGGTGCTTCCTGCCCAATCCTCGCCAACCCCCCCAAACCCGTACTCCATAAAGTCCATCTGCGGCCCAGCACTTCCATCCAACCCCACAGGTCCCATGGCCGCCTGCATCCTCTCCTTTTCGTAAAACAGCTTATCCCTCTCTTCGTCACTCTCGTCATCGCTATCGTGCACGAACAGACTACTCTTTATCATGACCATTCTCTCCTTCTCTTTTTGCCTCCGCGCAAGGGCACGTTCGATCGCAGCGTCGTCAAGGTCGGAGCCCAGCTCTGTGGATTCCATGGGGTCTTTTCTACGGCGCTTCCTGGCGGACTTCTTTTTGGGCTTTTCAGCACCGGGCATGGGTGTTGGACCGCCGGGTTCGAAGAGGGGCTCTAGGTCCGAGCCCGAGTCGGAATCGAAGGCAGGGACGCGGGGTTTGGGCTTTCGGGAGATGAAGTCTTCGGCGAGATGGCCATCTGGGAAGATTGGGGGGTTGTCGGTGTTTAGCTTGAGGAGTTCGAGGGAGGTTTGCAGGTCTATAGAAGTTAGCTGCGAGGGGATGATCCAGCGAGTGTTGAGAGTGTCGACTGCGTCAATTTTTTCAAATTTGAGGGTTGTTAGGAGGAGGCGGAGTTTTCCGTCTTTTAGTAACGCGGTTTGGCGGACTTCGTTGTCTGGCGTTATGTTTATAAACGGAGGGGGGCTTGGGGGGGCTTGGGGATTGGTCTCTGAGTCTGGATCAGCGGCTTCAGCTCCTAGTGCGAGTCTTGCTTCTTCTCCTGCCTCCCAGGATTTGCGCTCGCTGATGGCGGCGGCGAGAACAGTTTTTAGCCAGTCCACTGCATCGCCCTTGTTCTCATCTAACAGCGCGCCCACTGCAACGCTGACCTGTTCGTTGAATTCGAGACCCGGCTTGATGCGTAGTTCCGCTGCTTCCCTGTTGAAAGGTTAGCATATATTGTAGAAACAGGGAAGTGATATCACGAACCTTGGTTTGGAAACATTAATCTGCTTTTCATAGCCAAACTGCAAGTAATGCATCGTGCTGTTGATCTTTGTAAACAAAAGCTCAACATACAGCTCCGGCCTCTTCTCCAGCATCTTGACCAGCTTTCGCATGTAATGCTTGAAAAATTGATCCACCTCTTTCCTCGCGGAATGACTACTAGGTAGTCCATCTGGGCCTTGTAGAATTCGATTAAATAGCTCAACGATATCAATCCTGAACAGTAAAACCTCCTGTTCCCTCTTGACGAACACCCGATGAAAGAATACAATAGCCCTCTTCATCTGACTATAATTTAACTCCTTGTAGTTCCCGATAAATGCCAGGAACGTATTCACACAACTTTGTGTCAAGAACTTCTGCTCAAACCGCGAGTAGTCGAACGCCCGTTCCTTCATGGTAGCTTTGCTCAGTTCGGCCATCTCTTCGTCCCCTTCTTCGGGCACACCTCCGTCTCCATCCTCACTGGTAGGATTCTTCTTGCGTTGCGCTCTAGCACGTTTCCGTGAGCGGATGAACATGTGTTCATGCTGCTTCGAAAACCGCTCGAGCATCCTAAGGTGCACATGTACCATCTCCGTGCAATCATCCAACCAGCCAAACGGTTGCCTAGTATAGGCTCGCAGGATCATGACAACGAGGTCCAAGGTCACCTCCTCGTAGAATAATCTATTCTGGATGTTCTCCGCGATATCCTGGTCGTCTTCCAGTGGCGAAACAGCCATATCCTGAACCGTTAATAAGATCTGTGTGAAGCAGCGCATGGCGGATTGTAAGGGTGTCCACTGCTTTGTGTCGAACCAGTCTGTCATTCGGCGATTTAAAGTAATTAAAGATTCCTGGTTTAGGACCGAAGCCACCAGACTGAAGCTCTCAATGTCGGAAGTTTCAGGGTCTTCGGAGTTTGCGAACGTTTTGCGACGGGTGCGCTCGGCTTTGAGAAACCAAGCTATTAGGTAGAAATACTGTTGCTGGTTCGATTCTACAAGGCGTTGGGCATCCCGATCAATGGCACGGCGGAGGTGGCTGAAGAGGGGGTTAAAGCCAGCATCTAAGAAGCCCTCGACGAATTCACGGAGTTTTGCTTTGGCGCGCCGTTCAAGAGTGAGTGACATGTCATGTTCAGTCTATAAAATAAGATCCTGGAATCAGTTGTTTGTGATCCAAGGATGATGGGAATGTGTAATATACCTTACGGGATATCCCCTTTGTATCTGCGCCGCCCGGCTTCTTCCACTTCTTTGACGCATCCATCTTATCCAGACCAGTGGACTTCCCCAGCAGAGCACCCTGCCCAGAAACAAACGATCGTGTCTTGTCACCTCTCTCTATCCATACTGTAGTCCCAAACCTATTATGACGAGTACTTGCACCCCGAATACTAGCTCTCTTCATTTCATCCTCGAGCTTTAGAAGCGCTGTAAGATCCTGACCCTGCTTCTGTGACTCCTGTTCGTCCGTCAAGAACATTTTTTCGATATCTACACTCTTAACCAGGTGGTATATAACCTCCATAACGACTACATCCTGCGTGTTGAATTCATTCCCCATTTCAGAGGACATTGCCAATAGAAGATGCAGCACATTCTGCTCCTTCAGCGCTTCGATGGTTGCGCTCCGGGATATTTCCTCCCCTGTGTCCGTCTCCGTAATCATCGGGTGTTCAATCATAACCAGGTTCCGGAAAAAATAAAGGACAAGCTTAATTATTCCTTCGTCCCTCTCTGTCCGTTCATTCGGTGGCACCGCGATGGAAGGCAGCGCCACACGGACGATATTTGATAGGATCCTCTTGGATGGGTGTTGTAAGATAGCCTTTTTGTATCCCGCCTGCGCAAACTGTAGAACGGGAATGTGTCGGTGGTGATTGACAGTGGTTTGGCTGTTGTACCTCTCGAATGGCCATGTTAACGGCACCAGTAACTCGACGCAACCGAGTGCCAATCGCTGCTTGATTCGGTTCTCAATTTCGTCTTTCTCCCATCCGCTCAGGATCTCGAGTAGGTCGCCTTTCACTAGGTTTGCTTCAGCCATACATCGGGCGACCTAGTCCGTCCCGTCACTTAGTTAGTTCGTCCCTGCAATTTTGTATTAGGCAGGGGGAAGTATACATCGAACCGATTCATCTTTTGATCGTATAACTTCAGCCATCTCTTCAAGTCTTTCAAACAAGCCAAGGCATCGTCTCCGAGTGAGTAGCCACCGTCTTCGACCATTGATGTTCCTCCGAGCTATGGTCAGTTAGATACCCATGCCGTACGGGGACTGGATAGATGGAGGGAATGGCGAGTTACCGCTGAACATAGTGATAATATATGCGCTCTCTGTTGGAAATAAACGATTAGCTTTTGGCGGCAAACTGTGGGGAAACAGGTCTTACGATCATAGGATCAACAGTTTCCGGCAGTCTGGAGAGCACCATATCGCCTTCTCCTTCGCTCGACATCCTGGGTGTTTGTTGCTGGATTTTCTCTTTGGTATCATACAATCTGTCCGATGCAGAACAGTGTGCAAAATTGGGCTTTGGGTGGGGTTCCGTCAAGTTTGTTAAATTTCACGACCGGATTTACGCGACCCACGCGCGGTGTTGGGTCGACGCGTAAATTGAGCTTGGCAGGCACCGTACAGTAAGAGTGCCACCACAACAGCCCTACTGCCAATATTGAGCCCTTACCGGCTGTTGGTACTGTACAGTACAGTACTCGAGTTACCCATCTTGAGTAGCCTCTATCTAAAAATATCAACCATCAACTATGGTAAGTTAATATCAGTTCCCATTTCGAAGAACCAGTAGTAGATAGTGATTGAATCATGAAATCCAGTAACTCTTGTAGGTATTATATAGTAATATACCTAAATATCTCAATTTAAAAGAATAGCACTAGACAAAGTAAAAAGATTTCAAGTATGGAAGAATTCAGATAACATTGACCGTAATCGCGTTTCAGCATCCAGTTCTTTAGCGGAAGCTTGAAACATATCCTCAGAGTCGTTCGTATTGCATTCTTTTAATGTGATAAGTCTATCGATAGGGTGAAATGAGCAGCACGTCTTTTGACAGGATGCTTTAAGCCTTATAAATTGTCTAACGCAGTTACCAAGCTCTCGTTCTCACAAACCGCCGCAATATTGAAGCAGATGCTTATCTACCCGCCCCCAACTCCACCAAGCTCTTTACCAAGTCTGTTACCGACACCCCCAAACCCCTATAGGTGAGTCCTAGAAGCTGTTTGCTCCTTGAATTATCTGCTTTGTACAGGCCCTGTGGGTATCCGCCATTAGGCTGATCCTCTTCTGGCAATCCGGCAACAAACTGTGGGAAGTTCTCGCGAATAACATCAATAATTTTCTGGTTTGAGAAATAGCCCTCGGTGATGAAGAATCTTTTTCCTCCGGCTTCTAAGTTTTCCAGGGCAAGAATATGCGATAGAGCAAGATCCTATGGATTAGGTATTAGTCTCTATTACCTTTCCTCCGGGGTAATTTCTTTACCCTGACATCCACCCAAATATAGACTCCTGAAGGAGGAGCTCCGTTCTTAGCTTTTCCTTGGATGAAATCGAGGACTCTCTGCATGGCCATATTAGCCATCTGAATCCCGTTTTTGATCTGTGGATCCTCACTTCATTGGATGTGTTGAGACTGCTCAGCGAAGAGACATATGGCTTGACGGGTCCTAAAACAAGCGGGGGATTGATTGTAGCAATATCGAAATTGGGTCTCTCCTGTTCGACAAAGTCCCATGCCGCCTTCTCGGCAAGCTTCTTGGAAGCACGGTACCCGTTGCTTGGGTTCAGGAGACCCTCTTCAAGAGTGATTGGGTTCCAGTCATTCTCGGTGTATGTGTAACCGGCACCGTTGTTAGGTTTATTGGGATCCACAATCGCGGCGGAAGATGAAGTGATGACCTAATACTTATTAACTTCCTACCACCAATGCGGGCTTTAAATAATAATATACGATTCTCCTAACGGTTGATGCAAAAGCTTTTGTAGCCCCGAGGATACCAAGAGTACCATTCACGGCTGGATCAATCAATTCGGTCTTTGGGTCTGTGACATTCAAGTGGAAGGGTGAGGCGACGTTCAGGATCCCTGTGAACGGGGGATCGCTCTTGACTGCTTCGTCGAAAGCTCCGGGTTGGGCGATATCCTTGACTAGAACGTAATCGAGTTTGTCCTTGTACTGCTTATGTGCTTCAAGAAGCCTTTGCGCCTTTTCCTCACTGCGAACGGTGAAGCGGACAGAGTATCTTCTAGCCTTAGCACAGGTCATGCGAAGGGAGATTGGAGGACTTACCCGCGTTGGAGGAGAAGCTCAAGGACATGGGCTATCGGTAGTGCTTGTCAGTACTGTACAGTACTATACCACAATACCCCATTGCCCCAGGACTTCGACGGCCAACTTACAGGCAATGAAGCCAGAAGCTCCTAGAATCAGACAGATAAGCAAAACCCCACAAAAAAATAAAATGTCTAGCACAAACCGGTGAGTAGAACACGACTCATTTCTTTGGCAAATTCTAGCAGGAGGGATCGAGTGGTGTGGCAATAAATAGGGGATTCGGGTTTGTTATGTCGAAATAAAATGACCAAGGTGGGACTCGACCCAATTTATACCTATCCCTGACGGTTACTCCACTCCCATCTCCTAGAATCATTCCGACATTTTCAACTAAAATTTCAAGAAAGATATTCTGTTCGGTTCACTAAAGGGTTATCCAGAATTCACTAAACACTGGTAAAGGTGTTAGGGTGTGGATAGCACATTCCCACATAAGGAAAGCTTAAGAACAAAAAGGGGCCTCGGTAAAAGGGACGGATCCTGATCACTATTATCTCTGAGCTATCACAGTGAAGTGTCGGGTAAGCCTAGGAATAGCGATATCGCTTGCAGGAAGATATTTATCCAAACAGAAATTCTCTTCTACCCTGAAGTGACAGCTATGCACTCGTGCAGTACTGGCAGCGGTCAGAATTGTTGCCAAGACTTGATCATCTCAAACGACGGCATACAGGACATCCATCATCTGTCCGCCTCAAGATTTATGAGAATCGTATTACCGTATCTACTTTCAGGAAATTTCGAGCACGAACACGCTTTCGTAGCTTCAGATGCGAGTGGTTGCTTTGGGCGGTGATTGAGGTGAATTTTGGGGTGGGAGTAAGGGTAGCCCGGGCAAGTGCCACAGCAGAGGGGGATCTTGACTGGAGTGTCCCTGTCTCGAGCTTCCGTGCCCGGCGTCTAAACCGATCTGCTAATGCTAGTACGGTACAATGCCGGTATGCCAGTGGTGCTACTGTACATCTAGCTGCTAGGGAGGGGGTTCCTTTGTAACCTGGGAACCTTCAGCTGCTCTTTATTGTAACTTCTTATTCGTTAATTCAGAAGTATGGGATCCCCAACAGACCCAATCCCTCATGGCCGTTCTTTCAATTTCGCGAGTGATTTAGCATGACATGGACTTGAACCCTCTAGTGGTATCGATGTAGATCGGTGTGGATCTAAATAGCTAATTACGGAAGATGAAAAGATCCATTGGTTGTCTTTCTTTCCTTCGTTCTTCTTTTATGCCCAAGGGTACCTTTAGAATTGACGGAGGATTGGTTCCTGTGAGTTCTCTGCTCACGTTTAGTTGTGGTTAGTATCATATCTTCGCAGCTATTGAAAATTTCGATATTCCAGAGCGTCATGCTATTAATGCTGTACAAGTAACTCCCGCTACCCCTACCCCAGTACCGATATTAAGTTATGATACGTCAACGTGTGTCCAAAGAGGGCACAAAGGTATTTCAAGTAATTGGGGGGGGTTAATATTTGAAATCTTGGTGGCTGGGGGCTCATTCCCTCCTTCTGGGGCGGTCTCGGCTTCGGCGTGTTCAGATTTAGCAGGTTTGGTGGTATCTTGCTCCACAAGGGAGTATGTACGGCACTATGCTAGGCGAATGGTGCTGTAACGGGGACTCGCTAATGGGATCGATTCTGGTACGGCGACACTGCTCGTAGGTTAAGCCAAAGATATGAAGTGAGGGAGATCGTGCAGGCTGGGAATACAATAGAGAGGGTTTAGTACAGTACTCGTGCTTGTACAAGTACCAGTATGGCACCGTGCTTTACAAGTCAAGCTTCTCCTCCGCTATTTTCCTGACTCCAAGTTTCGCCTTCCTTTTTAGGAAGGTGGAGCAGGGTAAAACTCCACAAAATGCCTCACGATCCCCCTTCCTTGCTGAACTTGGAGCTTCATAAGCTTGGACACCAAACCTCATCGTGAGGTTCATTGAAATATACACCCTCTCTGGGGCTGGGCTTTGTCTCTTTTGCCAGAGTGTGGTTTACTGTCTCTCTCCTCCCTTCATGGTGGCCACCTCGGCTAAGCTGTGCGAGGTTACAAATACTTCTCCGCTCCTCTGGGTTCTTTTACTTGGTCGGGTTTACTTCTTTACCAATGTCTGGGTTACTCAGCAATGCGTGGTTGGTATTGCACTGCCTCCGGTCATGCCCCCATTCAACCAGCCATAAACGATCACTCCACTAGAGGCCGGCACTTACAGGTCGGTTGCCTTCATTACACGAAACGAATGCATCATGGTTCTCTCCTATATTTCTAGCTGCTAGCCAAGGCTGGACCGGTTGAAAAATGGAGAATGTGGTTTAGTCAAGGTGGTTTCCTTTGTTGGTTTCTTTTGTGTTTCCTTTCTCAAGAAAATATGGTATGGGTTTTCTTGTTGGCTCCTGCCGGTCCTGTTTTGTGCTTTTTTTGTTTTGTCCAGAAGGAGCTTTCATGGGGGTGGACGTGCAGTTGGTCCCATACCAGAGGGACTTGGACTGGCTTGTTTTCCCCTAGGCCTGTGGAGGAGGATTTTGACAAGAATGTCTAAGGACTAAATCGGGGGTGTGGGGTGGTTATTGCAGAGATGCCCTTGTATCTAGGATCCATGCTTTAGCCGGGCTGTGCTCTTATAGTGGAGGTTTGTACCTTTAAGCAAATAGATTTTAGAATTTAACAAAAAAAAAAAACCCCCGTACTTTACAAGTGCTGCCAACTATCAATACACATGAGCACATGCTCAAAGCTTCTTCCACTCCTTAGGAAAAAACTCGTATTATTTATAGCTATGTGTAGAAAGTTCTGATACCCTGGCTAGTACTGTAACACAAAAGGGCTATAGTAGATATATTATTATGAACTCATACTTAGGTAACCAAATCATATAGGTAACAAGTTAGTGAATGGGTATCATCATCCCTGATTAGTATTCTTCTATTGATTATCCACTCTCTTGAAACTCAAATCTTCTCTGAAAATCAGTAAATGGCACCTCCACATATTTCGAGTATATTCAAATATGACAAGCGGCAGGAAGTGATTTTTCTGAGAAGTCTGGGCTGGGGGTATAAGTGAACAGCTGAGAAAACCAAAATTCCTGTCTCTACTATTCACAATATTGTTAAACAATTTCAAACTTGGGGCTCTTCAGATGACACATCTCGTTCTGGTAGACCATCAAAAATTACGAAAGAAATAGCGGAAACAGTGGATTCCCTAGTTGAGGCAAATCCATGGGCATCTTTAGAAGAGCTTACGAAGAAGCTTCAAGAGCTTGATATTCAAGTTAGTCGTACAATCTTGAACAAAACGGTGAAAAGACTTGGTTTCAGTCTACGAATGCCTCGCAAAAAGCCCTTCCTCAATAGTTTCAAAAAGATTCGACGCAAACACTAGTGTCTATGGAAGATTGAATGGGATTTGGATAAGTGGAAAAGAATGGTTTGGTTGGATGAGTCTAAGGTTGAGTTTGAGGATTATCGCCATAATCGATGGGTACGAGTCATGCCTGGACAAGAGTTACTCAATCAAAAACTTGTACCTACCTTTTGATCTAGAAGATTTGGAGTTGGATGCTGGACTGCATTTACTTATGGAAGTCGGACACCTCTAATTCGCCTTCGACAGTGTCAACCTGAAGAACAAACCTCCGATCGTGACAGACTCGGTATTAACAGTCATCAATATGCAACTGAGATCAATGAGCCATACCTGATCCCTTATCTCCTTTCACTTGACAACGAGATAGAGGACTATTGCGTTGTTCTGGATAATGTGGGATATCACTTTAGTGATCTCAACAGGACTATTTACCCAGAATATGGGGTTCAAATCCTACGCCTTCCAGCCTCTTCCCCTGACCTTAATCCAATTGAAAATGTTTGGAGTATTCTCAAAGCCCAGCTTCGATACCGATTTACAACTATCGAAAATCAACTTAGTAACGAAGATGAATTGTAGACTGTGATGGCAGCAGAGTGGGAGAAGATTGATCAAAATTTGTTAAATAAATTAGTTAGGAGTATGGGAAATAGGATACGGGCAGCTATTGCAAATGATGGAGGGCATACGAAGTGGTAGTTTGAAGGATAATGAATCTGCTTCTTGAAGTACCTGTACATGATAATACATCTACTATAGCTCTTTTGTGTTACAGTACCAGCCGGGGTGTCAGAACTTTCTGCACGTAGCTGTACAGTATCATAAATTGAATTTATAGATCTCCTTATGACGACCGCCCTGTGATCGCGGAGATACATTTAGTCTACTGGATTCCAGCTGAACATTCACTGCGCACCTGACTCAAGCGGTCAGGATGCATCTCTTCACGCCAAGGAAAAAAAGTCGTTGCCAAGACCTTCCACCCCGCTCCATCTCACGTGACATTACTATGATGCTCCCACCCATCTTGAATAAATGCAAGCCTTTTCTTCGCCCGCCAACACCTCTGGAGCTCCGGATAGTCATACTCGTAGAACCAAACATCCTCACCACCACCCACCTCTTCTACCTCTTACCAGACATTTACCTTTCCCCTGTGCTATCTGATAGCCACACCACTGCGGGAGATTCCACAACTCTTGCGTTATGACGACAGCCGCCAAGGCCGTTCGATGCGTCGCGAGCTTCTCTCGTGCTTCACTTAGGCCTGCTGCAACTGTGCAGAGGGGATTGACAGCACAGCTGCGGCGCAGGTGCATATCTTCAAGCGGGAAGGATGGGGGGGCTGCTGTAAAAGTGGACATTGAGAATCGACGAATGGATGCGAGTAATTTTATGAATGGGACTGGACTCAAACCCGCGGAGGTTGGTCTGGCCGCGGATGCGATGATGTCCCCTTCTGCCGGTACCTCGCTTTCTCGCCTCCGTTTCGTATTTATTGCGAGGCAATTGGGAAACTAACAGCGATGGCGAAAAGGTATTCTCAAGCAAGCCACGATAATGGACGAGGGATCTCGACCAATCTACCTCGACATGCAAGCTACAACTCCTACGGACCCTCGCGTGCTCGATGCTATGCTTCCCTTTTATACCGGTCTATACGGAAATCCCCATTCACGCACACACGCCTACGGCTGGGAGACAGAGAAGGCGATTGATGTCGCGCGTGAGCATGTCGCAAAGCTCATCGGAGCCAACCCGAAGGAGATCATATTCACCTCTGGAGCCACCGAGTCAAACAATATGTCTATCAAGGGTGTGGCAAGGTTTTACAAGTCTAAGAAGCATATCATCACATCACAGACGGAGCACAAGTGTGTATTAGATTCTTGTAGACATTTGCAAGATGAGGGGTATGATATCACGTATCTCTCCGTCAAGAACAACGGTTTGATCGATCTGGAGCAGCTGGAGAAGGAG